TTTATGAGTTACCCACTATTTTACCTGATGATGATGATTTTGATGAAGATGATACTGATGATCATCTGAACGGGTTCCATCTTGACCCCAAATACGCAAGGCCAATTGCTGAGGAGACTTGGGAGGGAATTTCTGTAGGCGCGAAGAGAGCAAGAGAAATTGTGAGAATCAAATAATGAAAATTGTGTATTTTTTATTAAATAACTGGTATTTAAAAAGTTTTTTATTTCCGCGAGTAATAAAACAAACTTTAGTTTTTCTAACATAGTTGGTGACAAAGCGAATAAATAAAATAATGTTTTTGTAGAAGTGCAGCTACGCAAGCAATGACAATCATTGTCACACTAAGTATTAAGCTTCAGTTATCGCAATTGGATGTTTGTCTCGTATAACTTCTCTAGTATGATCTCTTGCTCTTTCTTTTTTCTTGCTCTTGTATATTTCTGTAACAGACTAACTAATTTTTGTAACAGATCAGTTGTCTATAGCTATCTTCGGCCGGAGTCCCTCAAGGTTCAGTCCTCTCGCCCCTTCTTTTCACGCTGATTACCGGCGATATCCCTAGGGCTCCCAATGTGGAGCTAGCCCTCTATGCCGATGACACCGCTCTCAAATAACAATAATAAAAACTTTTTTTATGACAAATAGGTTGTGACAATAATTTATTATAAATTATTTATTTAAATTCATATTTCGCTTGTCCCCACACTAGGGAGTTTCTGTGTACACGTTTAAAACAGTTTTTTGAGAAAAAGTAGGTTTAGTTTTACGACTAATCAAACACAAGTCTTGTAAGTCATGTGTTAATGTGTGAATAGGTGTGTGTTTTGTTGTATTTGAGAGTGTAGCAAAAAGTTGTTTTAAGCGTGCGCTGTGTCTTTGTTAGTTTTTGGCACCTCAGAGTCATAATATACCTAGTAAGGCTTCTGTAGATTTTAAATCCAAATGAATGTTATTAAAGCATGGTTATTATTATGTTAGTTACAATATTATCCGAAATATTATATTTAGTTAGGTTAGCTTAAAGGTATATTTAATCATAAAAGTAAAAATTAATTATAATTTTTTTTTCCATCAGATCTATCTAAGATTATATTATCAGATTTTAGTGCAATGGGTCTAACTTTAAATTTTGATAAATGTAATATATCTCCAAAATCAAAACAAATTAAGAATGTTTGGTCCCTGTGGGAGTGTATCTTTTACGCTGGCAGCATTTCCTCGCTGTATTGCGATACTTATTATTTACATACTAAATAATTTTTTTATATCATGTATTGTGTTTTTATTATAAAACACATTACCGTACATACAGTTAAAAAGTTTAAAGTCGAGACTAAGTCCGTTAGTAGAATGACAACCAACTTCCAGGTGTCATTCAATAAGTAACAGAGGTTTTAATTTAATTTCAAATCAAAACACAGCCTTATTGCTGTGTAGTTTACTCGTACAGTCCAGAATCAGCAAGCTCCCAATCAAAAAACATTAAAAAGAAGGTTATTGTATATCAAGAATATGATACAAGTTAAATTTTTCAAATAGTTATATAATATTATATTAGTTGATATATATATATATATACTTACAAACCCTTAAGTATCGATGGATGTTTGTTATATTTTCACGTATAAACTACTGAATGGATTTTAATGAAACTTGACAATAATATAGCGTATACATCAGAATAACACATAGGCTAGAATTTATAAATATATTAAAAAATCTGGCGTGCGCTGCCAAAACTGCTAGAGTTATACATATTTAATGTATGATGGAAATGTTTATCTTAAATAGTCCTACAAAAAAACCCGGCAAAGTATATATCTATATATTATGTGTAAGATATTATAGCCAAAAAAGTGAACTATAACTACAATAAAAAATATTAATTTATTTCAAATGCACATATGTTAGTAATAAATTAATTCCTAAATGAAAATATATACTTTTATCGCTTCTGGTATTTAAAGTAGATAAAAAATGTCTTTAAATAATATTGTTTTTAATCCTGCGCAGACTATGTCGCTGGTACCAGCTTGTACTCTATAAAATCACTATTTTATTCGTCTGCTGGTGGCGCTTAATTCGGGAGCAGAGAGGCTGAAAGGCTGTGATAGGTTCAATCCTATGTTAAAGTGCATTTCGAGGCGGTTTCACAATCTTGAGAGACAGCTGGTGGATCAACTCGCTGGGTACACTGGTTTATCTACACCCCTTGCGACTAAGGTGGCTGCAATGTTTTATAAAAAAAATTGTATGTATGAAATCACGTAAATATTATTTTTATATTACTTTTCTTTAATAGGTGTTGAACAGTGTTGGCCTAGTGGCTTCAGCGTTAGACTTCGTGTCTGAGATCGTAGGTTCGATCCCCGACTGTGCACCGATGGGCTTTCTTTCTATGTGCGCATTTAACATTTGTTCGAACGGTGAAGGAAAACATCGTGATTTAACCAGCTTGTCTTAGACTGCGTGTGTTAGGGACAGGAGGCTGAACACTTATTTGCTTATTAGATTGAAATATGATCATGAAACAGATGCAGAAATCTGAGACCCAGACCTAAAGAGGTTGTAGCGCAACTGTTCTTTTTTTCTTTGATAGGTTATAAAGTAGCAATATCCGGTCTCCTGAAATGTATTGTCTAAATTTTCTGACACAAAAATACAATTTTTTTAGTGACAGTCATTTATAACAAAGCAATTGGTCATATTTAACAACTGATGTATATGTAAAATAAGCATGAATGTAGTAATTTTAATTATCAATACATAAATACATAATTGAAAGTGAAATTTGAGTTTTAAAGTGACATTTAACCTATTAAAGATATTCATAGCTTATATAACTTCCTATTTATATATATAAGTGTTGCGTTATAAACTGATAGGCTGATCACCAATTTTTTTTTCTATGTGCGCAATCAACGCTTGCTCATACGGCGAAGGAAAACATCGTGAAGAAGCAGCGTTTTAAAACCTAAAGATCTACGACATGTTAACCAGAAAAATGAGAATCAGTCAGTCAAAATCCATCCAATATAGAGTTGTAACACTTTTGCATAATCCAAATCTATTTATTTTTCTTAAAATAATTTCCAATAATATTCAGTAACAGTGCACTGTAGTTTACTGTATGTAGTGTAATCTAGCTTGTAAGATTCGCGGTCTCCAATGCTTACGTTGATAACTACACCAGGGTCCTGGATGTGAAAGGACTGAATTGATTAAACCCTTCCTACACACATGTGGATTTATGGATTAACAGTTTTGTTAGAAGAGCTAAGATTTATTTACATGATAAGGAAATTAACTTAATTCGTAACAGGACCGCACCACATCCTTAAAGGTTGGCAACGTACTCGCCACTTAGTGTTGCGGGCATAGGCAGTAATGGCCTTGTCGTTTGATCTCGTGCCATTAAAAAAGCTTCATTGTTTCAGACCTGTTTATTAAGTCGCAAAATCCGTGTGCCACTAAGGATTTTTTTAAATTAATTGTACATTTATTAATAACAGAAGATACACAAAATCGCTACTGTGAACTCCAAGATGTCATTAATCATGGAGATAGCATTCAGTAAGCGCAACGTCTTTGTTAAGGGGGATCTGTAACAGACTGGTTCTTGGCCTTCGCGATCGCATAGTCCCCCTAGGTACAAAGACCCCTAGTTCTTGGAGAACACTTGGGTTGCTCCCCATCCCCCCATTTAAGTAGATATAGTAGTCCCGTCTTGTTTCTAATTTATTGTACCCCACCAACCCCTACACAAATGAGTCTAATCAGATGTATCAACTATAATAAACAATCACTTATGAGTGATTCTAATTTTTTTAAAGTAATATTAGTTCTGACATTGCGTACTCATCTAATATATAAAATTCTCGTGTCACAAAGTTCGTTCCCATACTCCTCCGAAACGGCTCGAACGATTCTTATTAACTTTTTTATGCATATTTAGTAAGACTGAGAATCGGATAACATCTATTTTTCATAGTATTGTCTTTTATTGACATAACCTTTACACATTTTAGACAAAACTTTTTGTTTTTATTTTTTTATGATACAGCATACAAAAATACATACAACCCTTAATTGTCACCCCTATACGATCAACCCCTATTTTTATTATAGTAGATAGTTATTTTTATTGAACTAATGAAATGTTTCCTAGATATATTATTATACATGGCAAAACGAAGTTTTCCGGGTCAGCTAGTTGTTTAATAAGTTTTTGAATGTTAAAATGCGGTTTCCCTTCTTTTATTTTAAAGCCCGAGTTATGTAACCTACCATTAGTTAAGTTAAATATATATATTTTAGTTAATAATAAGAAGCGTAAACAATATGTAATCATCGCACACTTGAAGCCAATATGAGCCCTTTAGTTTTTACCACACTCACAAATAGTTATTGAACATTCTCGTTTCCGATAGTGTCCAATAATATAAGTGTCACTTAGATTTACGACCTCTTCAATACGTCAATTTATTTGTTTGTTAATCCAGCGTCGCAACCCCACTAATATTATGTTAGTTATAAGCTAATGTATTGAACGATTGACACCCAGCTTCAAACAGAGTGTTTCATTTAACATATACTGATTATCTATACAACAACGAACTTAATTCCCTTCTTCCTAAAATAACGCAATGAAGCACTAGTTTTAATATTTTAATTGGTTTAATGAAAGTAGTTTACTCGTTTCGCTATGTATAAAATGCCTCGCTTCAATGACATATCTTCAAGTACATATATCTCAAACCCTCAAATACACCTTAGTATAGTTTATCAATAAGAGATAAATAGAAACTGATTACCTGTTATGGTAATTTTTATAAAGTATGTATGTATTTGTAACAATATTTGGTAAATAATGAGTGAGTCATAGAAGCCATTTCACAACATGACGCAAAGATAGCACGTATATAAGCCGGCGACTCAATTGCCTTACGTCAGTCGAATGATAATTCTCAATATGCGGTGTGATGTATTGAATTCTCATGGACCTGGTGGTCGTAGCCATGAACACGGGTGGCATGAACACAGGCCTCATGGTCATGGACGACATGGGCATGGACGACATGGGCATGGACCACATGGGCATGGACCTCATGGGCACGGACCACATCGTCACGGCTGCCATGGACACGGACCTCATGGTAATGGATCACATGGGCATGGACCTCATGGCCACGGTCCACATCGTCACGGCTGCCATCAACAAGGGTCTCATGGTCATGGACCACATAGCCATGGACATCACGGTCATGGACCCCATGCGCACAAATGGCATCCATTCGGACGTCACGGACCACCATATTTTGGCAAGCATTTTGGACGTAACCACTACGCTGGACCCCAAGATCCATGTCATAGTATGCGCTTTAGCCCTGGCTGCCAAAAGAATGATACAGTTTTGATAAGCAGTGCCGATCAACGACCTAGAACTGTATGAAACAATTTTTTTTACAAAATATTACATTTATAAATTATTTCGAAAAAATAATAAGGCAAGGAAAACATTTACAAAATATAATTCCCGTATTACGATGGATTAACCCCGAGTATAAAACGAGGACGAAATTTATGAAAACATATTTTCAGAAGCTATTTATTTTGAACAATAAATGTATTGAAAAATTATTTGTATTTCCATTAAAAACCTGCACCCACTTATATTTAAGACACAATCATAATAAGAGCGTACCAATTAATAATTCAAAATCATTTATTCATTTAGGTAACACAATGTACACTTATGAACGTCAATAAAGAAATACATATTAAATGCTTCTAATTTTACATTTACTGCCAGTTCTCAAATCAAGGCCGTAGAACGGACGAGAAGAACTGAAAATAAACTCTCCGCCACTCTTTTTAATCGCCAAGCTTCTAGTTTTACCCAATGGTTGTAAAGAGCTGCAACCATTACACTATGTTGCACATGACATCTTTAGTTAATTAATAATATGGTATGGTATTATTTACCATCAGGTGACCCTCCTGCCCGTTTGCCCCCTGTTATATTTAAATAAATTAGTCAGCGCTAAAATCGTATATCAATCTGTCTTTTGTCATCTGTTTTTATTAGTTATTATTTAAAACAAGAGCGGAACCTCTGTGTCTGGCTTACGTCGATTATTAGGTCCCGGTTTCCTCACGATATGAACCTGAACTCCACCGTACGAGCAAGTGTTAATTGGGCGTATACAAAAATCTATCCGTGTACAGCCGGGCCTCGAACGCAATCAGATTACTGCCTACTAATTCCTACCATACTTTTAATCGTGCTTTGTTTCACGTACTTCACATCAACACCAATGCAAGAAACTCAATTTCCTATCGCGCAGCCCGTAGATACAACGACCACTATTTAAGCCTTGACTTGTTTAAGCTATCGCAGTATATACTTAGTATTACGTAATTATTATTAAATGTATTTAATAATAATTAGGTATTATTGTTTTTTTTCCTTTCGTAAATGAATCTTTTTGTATTGATTATAAATTTCATCTTTGGCTATATCTTTAGCATAATTGCTTTTTGATGTAGATATTTTATGTAAGCAGAGGATTACGTAAAGACTTCAATAAAAACACACCATGTAACGTGTTAGTGTCCATGTAAAAAGTGGCGCGAAGAGTTGGATGTCCGTTACACAAAATCAAGTGCTGAGAGTAATAGTCAATGCTGATACATTCGCAATAACGACCTCGATCGGGACCTTACTGTGGAGGACGTCGCTACAGTAATAAAAAAGACTGCTGGAGCCTACGTACATAGGCTCCACCGTCACGTGAATGTCGAGGCTATTCAACTTGACGACACGGGCCTCGCGAAAAGGACAAAACTATTGAATTAGTGTTAAGTGCTAAACAGTGAGTGGAAAAAAATAGAACACAAGAACAGAGTGTCTTCCCTTTAATAGAGACTGTAAGTAGTGTTATTGGACACTTTCTTATTATTAAATTAGGTTAGACTAAAATTACTTAGTCTTAAGTTAGGCTAGATCGAAATGTTCCATGTCTCACTAAAGAATGTGTTAAAAAAACACAACGAATGTGTGCAACTCACGTTTTAAGTAAAGTACAACTGTAATTTGTATTAAACATAATAACAGATAATGTCCCATGTTCAAGGACATCAGATATCACGTCATAACCTATTTCACGCTTTCATGATCTAGGATGATTCTACTGCAAGTAATATACTTTGTATCTAATTTTTGGAGCAGCGTTGCGAATAGAAAAGTCAAAACAAGAGATTTTTGTTTGATTTTAACCTAAATGTAAGCGCAAACTCGACTCTTCTGGTTTCGTTTTAGAGAAATGATAGGCGAATAATTAAGGAAATTAATTTAAGATATTTGGTATAGACGCGAATTCACTATATAATTTACATGACTCGTGACGTGCGCTTTTTAATTGTAGTCAGCGAGATACCGCCATATCAAGGTCAACTGATAACTAATTTCATGTATATTGAATTACTTGTATATTGAAATGTTGCTTTATTACCGCCGTTATTACGAATCTTTCGCTAGGTTTTTACAAAAAATACTCATTGTATTTTCCTTTTTGTTTGTGTTTGAGTAAAATTAACGACTAACTAAGCTACAAAGAGAAATGTGAATGTATCTGCAGAAAATAAAAATAATAGATTCGGAGCAATGCCTTAAATGGAGATGGGCAGGGTACGTAGCCCATTATACAGATGACAGCTGGACAAAAACTGTAACCGAATGGACGGCCCAAAAGGAAAAGAAAACAAGGGCAGATAAATAAAGCGATGGTCCGACGAGATCGAAAGGGTAGCTGCTAGAAAGTGGATGAAGACGACAACAAGTAAAAAAGCGTGGTAAAGTTGGAGAAGGGGTTTTCCCCACATTTTAGATTAATAACATTCTATATATTATATTTCCTTTTGTATAAGATATCAAAAAGATATTATGGATAAATAAAGGCTTATTATTGTTATATTATTATATAAGTTCATAGTTGTTAATTAACATCTATTAATATATATTCTAATTAGATATAGTTACAAACATGTTACTAAATTTATATTTTTGAAGTGAAAGTTTCACTAGGTTAGGGTAAAGTTTTACGAATGAAACGCAATAATAGTAATATTAGCGTCACGAAGATGTGCAGCGTTTTTGTCGAAAAAAAGGGAGAGAGCGATTGAGACCGATTGAGAGAGAGAGTGAGAAGGGCGAATTACCTTGTAGAAATTATATTTTTTTAAATTAAAATTTCGGAAAGGGATTTTATGAAATATTAGTATTTTATATTTTATGCAAATGAAAATGACGAATCGTAAATTTTCGCCACATGTTTTTTTACTAACGAAGTAAAAATTGATTTATAACTTGTATTAATTTTCGACACTCTTAATATTTTAATGACAATTAAATTCATTAAATTCCTAACATATCTTCCTTTTTCCCTCCCTCTAAGTCTCGGAAATCTAAAGTTTTAGATTTGTATAAATATGAACAAGACTTAAAAATTTGTTTGCCAAAGAAGTTTCACTTTTGACATACGAGTATGTGTACTTGGTACGCACGCACTTTTCTTATTATTAGCGTTTAAATATTAAATCAATTGTAATATATTTGGTTTCACAATTTATTAACGCCGTAGCGTACTCGTATTTGTACGCAAGTTGTACAAAATATTAAACCTCTGTTTATAGATATTACATAGGTTTTCAAAATATGTCTATAAGTTTTTTTATAGGTTTTGGTAAAAGTATTGTTGCATAATATTTCATAATTGCTGTGAAATAGATCTTGCACAATATTATGTAATAGTTAAAACACAAACTTTTAAATACCAAATTCTGCTAAAAAAATGATATTTACACAAAATTGTTACACAAAATCAATTTGCTTTCACCAAACCCAACAGAGCCAAATCTATATTTTTATTAAAAACTAGCAGACCGGCCAAGCGTTGCCGTGGCTAAGGTTTTAGTTATATTACGTAGTAGTAACCTATTCAAGGGAAACGGTAGGAGAACACCAGTCATGGGGACCACCATGCTTTTTTGGTGGTTATGCCTTTAAATTGTAGCTTATGTGAAACGTTGGTACTTTCAACACAGCGCCATCTGTTAGAATTGTGACTATCAAATAATAAACAAATATTTTGCAATAAAATAATATAGCGGGTATAAATTGAGATGTAAGCTATCCTATCTTTTAAGTTAGATCAAACTGCACACGGTGTGCAAATTTGTTTTTTTTTTATTTTTTTTGTTTATTTGATGCACAACACACATTACAATCTTTACAAAAATAAACTTAAAACTAAGAGATTTGAACTGGATTCTAACGTAAAACTATGTGCACACTGCAAAATTAATGTTACAATAATGAAAAAGCTCATGACTATTAAAGGTAACATAGTAAAAAATTAAGAAGTTCCTCGACACCAGTTTAACGATGAGGGTGGGTCCTAGTCATGTAGGTATAGCAACCAGGGCCACAAGGGTCAGCACTTAACCTACGATGGAGGATGTCTTTAATGACACTGATGAATTTATTAATATTGTGACAGAATATGTCCACAAGTAAGTGATTGCTCTTTGCCATCTCGTTATATTGACGAGCCATCCTGGTCAAAGGGTAATACGAGATGTTATTTTTATAGGGAAAATAGATTGACTTCATAGATCTACGGGCACTAAATTTAATGTTAAGGCTTATGTGAGCTAGTAGTTCGGGAGAGTCTATAATGGAGTGGGTGATTTTGTAGAGGTAAACTAAGTCGAAGATTATGCGTCAGGATTCTAATGGTTGAACTTTAAATTTCAGGAGTCTATCGCAATAATTTAAGTTAGACCGGCCAGGTTTTATACGATAACATAAAATTCTGAGAAATTTCCTCTGAATTCGTTCAATATCGTCAATGTGCACCTTGTAATTCGGCGACCATATAGGACTACCGTATTCTAATATACTTCTTACGAGGCTGAAGTATAAGTACAAGGTGCTACGAGGATTTTTAAAACCTTTTGTGGATCTAAGAATAAAACCCAGTAGATGGTTTGCTTTGGACGTGATGTGACTATAGTGGGCACGGAATGAAAGCGAATTGAAATCGGTTTAGTAGCTTAGAGGTCCATAGCGGACAAACAACGTGACACGTAATTTATATATATTAAGATTACGTAATATTTCATAACTATTGCTCTTTGTATATATAATGCACCAACAATAGACTGCAGCATCAATTGCGATTGACGATAGCATGCGCTGTGATTTACGTTTTACAGAACCCTCCTGTCATGGAACTCCAGGAGGACATGGAATCTCAGGATATTTTGGACCACCCGGACCCTATGGGAATCGATGGCCACACCAGCCCGTCGGCTCTTTTGGACCCTTTCCGTGGAACCGACAGGGTCTAGGGGAAACGTACTTATCTTGTGAAGAGGGCCGAATGAGGACTAGATGTAATAAGATGGATCTGTCTAGGTCTCGGGGATGCTCACGTAGGTCTGGGAGAAGATCGAGGGACAGGTCCAGGGGAAAATCAAGAGGAAGATCTAGGGACAGATCTAGAGGAAAATCAAGAGGAAGATCCAGGGGAAGATCCAGGGGAAGATCGAGGGACAGGTCCAGGGGAAAATCAAGAGGAAGATCCAGGGGAAGATCGAGGGACAGGTCCAGAGAAAAATCAAGAGGAAGATCGAGGGACAGGTCCAGAGGAAAATCAAGAGGAAGATCGAGGGACAGGTCCAGAGGAATGTCAAGAGATGGTTCTAGGGGAAGATCGAGGCATAAATCTCGAGATGCATCCTGTGTAAGAGGCAGTCTTCAGCATAAATCACAAAGGGAGTTACATCATGGAAACCACGGATGTTGTTATCAGTGTTGTAACTATTGATTATTATTATTAATCCAATATTTTAACAAAATGTTTATCGAGTAGTTATAGTATAATAAGTGTGTATTATAAATACGAAATAATGTAATAAATAGAGATCTATAAAAAAATTATTCGTTAAGAGTTTTTATAATTGTAATTGATTTATCTAATAATTTAAATGTACTTTAATAAATATAATGTAGTTTTTTATAAAGACCTGCAAATCGACTCTTAGATTTAATATGACACATCCTTGCTTACATGACTTTACGTAAAAGAGGGTACGAACGCTTACTGAATTCTTTTATTGGTAAATACTGTACTTCATAGTCTAAATGTGAGATTCAGATAACTATTTTTACAACACTGACAAAATAGTATCAAAACAAGTTGTCACAAACCAAAATCAACCCGATTCCCAGTAACTATTTAACTAAAATATGCAAACATGTGTGTAGCCCCTAGAATAATCTGTTCAAGTTGAAAGCACATCAAAATCAGTTAACTGCTCATTACGGATCACAGTAATGCGGGTTTAGGTTTTACGGTACGTGTGTTCGACTCCTGATAACTGCACCAACTACCTGTGTACATACAGTTTTAGCGGATATTTTAACGTCTATTATAAACTGTTCAGTGGCAATATAAATCCGTGAGGTCGTAGGTTCGATCCTCGGCTGTGCACCAATGGACCTTCTATGTGCGCTTTTAACATTCGCTAGAACATTGAAGGAAAACATCGCGAGGAAACCGGCTTAGACCCAAAAAGTCGAAGGCTGTGAGAGTCACAGGAGGCTGATCACCTGATGCCTATTATATTGACTAATAATCATTAAACAGATTCAAAAATCTGAGGCCCAGACCTAAAAAGGTTGTAGCGCCACTGATTTATATATTTTATAAACAAGATCTAATTTTTTTTTAATGAAAAAGTAGTAGTATCTCGCTGAACACTGTTCTAATAACTTCGGATTATTTATATTTTTCTTTATTTTTGTATTAAACAGTTTCGCGAAGAATCCTGTATTGACTTTGACCGAACTAACGCAGGTAAATCTACAGGCTGCTATCTAAAAATAAGTGTTAAATGGCAGGTAAAAAGATTCCTTCTGGCCGTGTGTAGGTGCCTAACTCAACACCGGATTAGCATAATAAATGGCACATCCTACGTTATGTTCAAACTCTCCCTAATAAAGATTTAACACCAAACGGATGACGGGAAAAAGGATAAAAATTATAATTTACTGTATTTTTAAGCTGTTTGTGTACGCGTTTCATACGTGCTATATACGGGCTTACGGGTTTTGATTTACGTTAAAAGTAATTAATTATAATCTACTATATAATGGACAAAAAATTAATTAATTATACGAAATAATGTAGTGTAGTGTAGTTATTCAGTAGGTAAAAAGAACAGCGTCGGAAACTAAAGTGAAGACAAATTTCGTTTTGTGATCAAAGATTGTGGTCTAACGAAAACATGGACTGTGGTGATTGGACAAAAATAGTATCACATGACATAACCCGTCTCTGTGCGTGTTGTACTAGATAGAATAACTGTTGACCCAATCACAATGAAACGAAACACGCCATCGTCTTCCGAATTACGAATGTAAAATGGAAACTAGAGATAGATGACAATCAAATTAATCAAGAATGTCCTTTCTATTGGCGAGGCCTGGTAATAGCAGGATCTTACCAGGAAGTCCGACTACACTCGCCAAATTAATTGTCGCTCCAAATGTCCCCACTTCGCTTAATTGTTTCCCTATTTAGTTCATATGTAACTAAACTGACGTTCCGAGTCAATGTCTCCAAGCTAAAATTCTTGCAATTAAACCTAATATATAATAGGAAAGATATGTAACGCTTAAAACAAATCGTGCGCTCGGGAAAATTGAAATCGACAAGATGTTAACAAAAATATGATTTCCTTTTTAAGTAAATATTTTTACTGAGTTACCATTCCGCATTCTGAGTCGCACTCCCGCGGGGTGAGCTTTGAATACTGAGTCTAGTTTATCCATTGGTCCAAGTTACTAGAAATAAAGTCGTACATAGTTTGGTATATAACGTAGAGAAGCGCCAAGTTTTCGTGTCATTTTCATACGCGATTTTCTAACATATTTTCATAAGTGTTTGATTGTCCTAATTTTAACATGAATGATATTTGAAAGCATTACTAGTTGTAGTATTGCCTCAGTGGCTTCAGCGTGTGACTCTCATCCGTGATCCGGTTCGATCAGGCCGTGCACCAATGGACTTTCTGTCTATATGCGCATTTCGCAATATCGTGGAAAACCGGCTTGCCTAAGGACACAAAATGTCAACTGCGTGTGTCAGGCACAGGAGGCTGTTCACCTACTTGCCGTTGACAAATGATCATGAAGCAGATACAGAAATCTAAGAGACCTAAAAAGGTTGTAACGTCACAGGAATTACATAATACGTGTGTCTTACGCAGGAAAGTGTATTATTATTTTTTCAATTAGAAGAACAATTGTATGTCGACAGAGCAACTGTATCATAATGAAACAAAAACCTAATTTTACATGGGGTTCTAACTCATGACCTTGCGACCTTGCTTGACCAAGATAATCACACACCCACTATGCTAACACTATATAAAATATATATAAAATATATCACAATCGCTTACACTCACACCGTAAAGATTCCCCGATTGAATGCAGATTAGTTACGGACCTTACTACCTACTGGGTATCCATCAATGGTGTAACCGTACTAAAGTAAGCCTTCAGGCTATTTCAGGACAGGCTTTGGAATCCAAGTTGGTTCCAAAGTCCAATAGAACATATTTGTATTCGATTCTTATTCAATAATTATTTTTACATCGGCACTTCCATACTTTGGTTAAAAGCTACCCGAAACACAAAGGAATGCAGCACCTGTTAATAATTTCTGAAGTAAGCTTCAAGAAAGACTTAATGGGCGGATAGATAGCCTCTATTTGCCGTCGTTAATTTCACTAAAAAGCCCTCCCCCATAATATGCGACAATATACTCACTAATGTTCCATGTGTTCGTACAAACACGCATAATTCGCCAATGTTTCGGGTTTTATCTAAGAATGACACTAATTTATTATGAGGATATTGATATTTTCCACCTCATCAATGAAGATGTGAGGAAATATTTGAAGAGGCGGGAAGACTTTGACTTTGTTTATCATAAACAATCTTTGAAATATTATTAGGTGTCGTTTGTTTAATGTTATATTTCAGTTTTCTTTAATTTTCTAATTTGTTTATCTATGTAATTTCTAATGGCTTTATACAATCGTCTAAGTGTTTTGTTAATATGTATGTTAGGTGTAAGATTGCTAATAAATAAATTAAATAAAAATAAATGTGCAAATAGAATTTTTTTTTGAGTTTCTTTTAATGTTATCTTTGGACGTGACTATTGAACGTTCCGGGGCTAAATAACAGTCTTGGTCAGCGACAGACTGTGTTATATTGGACACCAACATCTTTTATTTGAAGCATGGGTGCTTGTTGCTTATAATGGCATCATCAATATGTTAAAGGCATTAAACAAAAGAGTTCCTTTCTCGTGGCAAGTATTAACTCAAAATAATAACATCGAAATTCAAATTGTTTGCGCTGTTATCTTAACGACACACTCGACATATTTAATTATTAGGTTCATATTGTTCCAGATTGATTTGAAAGGTTTATGAGATGTCAGGCAAATGAAGCGATTATGCTTATGGGACTATGCGTTGGCTCGCAGTTCAATTAATAGTTTTGATACTTTACTCAAATTAGGAATTTTTTAAAGTCTTTATAGTACTTTTAATCAACTCTTATATCTAAAATCACTTATTTATTTATTAAATTTCCAATTAAGTACTATAAAATTGCTAAGTTTTTAATCAATTAATTAATAAATCAATCAAAATCATTTATTCATATAGGTAACACAATGTACACTTATGAACGTCAAAAAATAAAATATCTATTAAATGCTTCTAATTTTACATTTACTGCCAGTTCTCAAATCAAGGGCGTAGAACGGCGCAATTTGGCTGAGCTTGCTAAAAGCGTTATAATTAACCAAGGATACTGCATGTGAAAGTAAATATTTGCCCTCACCACTAGTTCGGGTCATGGAGTTTTGTCACTGTCAATATTGATTACACAAAATGAGGGCAACCTACATAGTGTGAGTAATTGGTTTAAAGACAAATAGCCGTATTATTTTCCCTAATTTAACAAGGTACTAATGAAGAAAAGGAAAAAGAGCCAAGAAATGTTGAGCTATATTAAGTAAATGGAACAGCCAAGGTGAAATGACATATGTTATATTTAAAATGATACTCATTTGTATATGGTAGATGTGTTATGACTGCGTCATATCAGCTGTATTTGTATAACAGTAATTGCATTTAATCATAAACGTAACAAATTTGTTATTAAAGTGGAACATTTTTAGGCGCATGACGGTACAATTTTAACGGATGAAACGCAATAACAATAATATTAGCGTCACGAAGATGTGCAGCGTTGTTGTCGAAGAAAAGGGAGAGAGCGAGCACGCACAGTGCCATGGAGCGAGAGGTGGGAGAGCGCTATAGTGAGAAAGATTGAGAGAGAGCGATCAAGTAAAAATATACGCTTTTGGTTGATATATTCGTTTAGTAGTTACATATTAGAACTGGATAGATAGATATAGATGGCAATTTTATCGCATAACGTCTTGTGCAGTAAACGCAGATTTTTTATTTATATTATCATTATCACGTATGTAACAGTGTGTAAACAGTGTGAATATACAAATACATGGAGTGATCATATACTGGTACATGATCATCTATTGGGCTTTCACCTTAGTAATAATTAAGTTACAAAGATGTTTCACTTCTGACATGTGTACTTTGTATGCACGTCCTTTTTTTATTAAATCTACTTCCAT